AACATAACGTATAAAGTCTATTTGAAATTTAATAATGAAACTCAAGTAAAAGTTACTATAGTTTACCCCAGTCGTAATGTTGCTATTCCAACACTTCACGACAAGCAATCCAATTAGCATAACGGCAAAAACATCTCTCCCTTCAAGTAAACAACAAACAATCTGTTCTTGTTCCATGTTTAATCGATAAAAGTGATCAATTTTCGAATTTTAAAGGTGATCTACAGTCCGTATGTAAACAAAGCCTTTGTTTACATTTTTGTGTCCAAAATATTGAGCTTTATTCGACAACTATTTATATTTTCAAGCTTCTAGAGTATAATGAATGATCAAGGAACAACAATCAGGCTTTTCAAGAACTCAAAACATAGTTAAACTGTTTGTATCATAAAAAGTGGGCTCATTTGTGCACATGCGCAGATCGGACTGTAGATCACTTTTAAGCTTATCGAGAGCCTTTGTGATGAATCACTGACCTAATTATAGAATCCAACAGCAAACAGCCAATCAGAATGCCGCGTTCGTGGGCGAACCACTGGGCGAACGCGGAAAGTACAAAATACCGGGCCTTGCTTACAGGCCCACTATTCTTCCCTGGGCCTGCACGCGGGCTATAGTGAATCATGTCGGCCATATTATAAAATAAACAGCCAAAACGAAAACGACTGTCAGCTAGCTAGGAAAATAAACCCTTCAAAGCCACAAAAGGTTGCTGATGACGAAATACTTACGGGTACACTAATCGTAAGTGGGATTCAGTTTGCTGATATGACAATTTTTTCATGTGTTTAGCATTTTACCATGCAATGAATGTTGCCAGGTGTGCCTCCCATCTTCAGCTACTTTGTTGTTCTTGTGGTTGGAATAAGCAGTTTTTTACCTCACGTCAGATATCACGTTTTTTTAAAGTAAACAGCAGGTTTGTGTATGCTCTAAGTTCCATTGGTTGTGGTCATGCTGCAGCAAAACGGTTTTGTGGTCTGATGAACATGCCACCTCCTCCTCGACCAACTCCGGATCCATATTCACAGTTACATGTCAGACAAAGCAAATAAGACGAGTGAATACAAACATGGAGCTGCCTTCCTGTGGATATTACTGTGGATTTAAAACCAACTCTTGAAAGGCTAAGTGATGATGGCCTTTTGTCAAGGTGTTTAGATGGCAAGACTCAAAATCAGAATGAGTCTCTAAAGGTATGATTTGGGAACGGTTTGGCAAACAAACATTTGTCGGCTCGGACGTACTGCAACTTGGAGTACATGATGCTATTGCCCACTTCAATGTTGGATGTGAAGCTTCTATTCAAGTTCTGAAGAACATTGGCATTAATCCTGGGAAATATTGTGAAGCTGAATGTTCTCGATATGACGATATGATAAGTAAAAAGACAGACTATAAGGAACAAGATATTGTAAGATTGTGGACCGAGAAAAGTGCTATGTGGGAGGAAGAAGAAAAAGGGGGACAAGGATGAAGAAAAGGAGGGAGAAACTTATGCATGTGGCTCATTTTAGATTTCATCAAACAGTTTTGCTGAAAATGAGCTCCAATTATGAGGGATATCTAGATAAGTGAGCCCACATATTATCTTAAACTTTGAAACGTGATTTGTTCCAATTCAGAAATTTGGCCAACCCGCATTGTTCTGAAAAGGATATCTCAAGAAATTCTAGTAGTAATTATTTGAAGCTTTGTTCTGATATTGCTTTGTGTTCTGAACCAACAAAAATGACAAAAATACCATAATTGTAGTAAATGATCGACATGTTGTTGTTAGCCTTGGGGAAAATTCTCCATTTGTTAGGAAAATTCACATATATTTTTACTTGTAATAAAATCTATGAGTATTGTTGTGGTTCATAACATACAGCAACCTTTTCTGTACACTTTAAGCCTTTTTTTGAGAACTTTAGACCACTGGTTCTTAAGTTATCTTTTGCACAAAACATGGCCGTTTTTCACAGTTGGGGGCCTCCAACCTGGTTACCATGGCAACAACATGTGTATCGAAAACATATTTTATTCAGTGTCACTTTACATTCCAAGGAGTACAAAAATATATAATTTTAAGCTAATTTTAAACTTTTTTCAACTTTGAGTGGAAGACTACCTTAACATATTTATAAATGTTATAAGGAAAACACAAACAGGAGAACGCCTAGGAACACTAACACAGCGTGAGCCATTTTTGTAGGAAAAATCGCCCGTCGCCCAGACAACAATAGAGACGTTCAGATTTGGCTTCCACTATCATTGCCCTTTTGGCTTAGAACGCATCTGGTCGGTTAGTCGGAAATATCAAACGCATCTGATTAGTTAATGATTCCTTGATATAGTGGTAGCGGTATAGTGAAGTTACTCTGCACCTCTCCATTGCACAGCATGGACCAAAACCTCTTTATTTTTGTAATTTCGCTCGCTATAGCTACCACGAAAACAACGCACGATACTGTAATACTATTAAGTCGCTTTAAACTCATTTTTTAACTAACACAATCATGCGGTTACCACGTTCTTTGCAAACTTGCCAAATCGATGTCCAAGTTCATTTTCGCAACGAAATTCGCAAATCATTTCAATGTTTGAATTTTGATTGTAAACAAATTATGTCTGAATTGTATTGATAATAACTCAATCGTCCAGCGGTCTCCTATATTAAGAAGGAATTACCTTTTTAAATAAGCCAAAACAAAAATTGAATGGGAATTTAAACTTTATAACAAACAAAAATGAAACAGGAACAAAAATGTTGAGGGCATTTAAACTCTATATATAGACTTTTAGTGGTACCCTTTATTTAAATTAACTGGTTTTGCAATATATTTAAGATAAATATATAGCTAACCATTCAGATGAAAGATTGTAATGACATATATGTTAAATAAAAGTAAAGAATATGATTATACTTATTTACGATCAAACTGGAAGCACTTGTAAAAAGCATGCTACAATAGGTATACGTATGTATAACTCCTTTTCAGCTCTCAGCGAGCCAACCTGCACAAATGCCTGCATATACATTCGACATTGGCATTGTGTTCATGCATGCAGTAAACGTTTCAACTGTGCAGAAATATTGAACATTTACTTTTTCTTCAATCGCCGTTGTCACGTCCCCGTTCTATAGATGAAGCGTTGCTTAAGTTCGCTAATATTTTCTAGCTCTTAGACTTCTGAGACCACAGCAAAATATATTTCCAGTATGAACCTCCCATGCATGCACCTGGTAAATATACCTTGGTGTCGGTTGAGTGTATGTATTTTTAGTAATAATTATAAATTAATGTTATTACACACAATTACCTATTTTCATTAGTATAACAACAGGTTTTGTTTTTTTCACAGTCAAACCTTACAACACAAAGATTACGATTACACCAGAAAAAACTGAAGTTGGTAAATCAGTTAACATAACGTGTCACTCCGAAGGTCGTCCTGAACCAAAATATAGCATAACCCATAATCTTATCGTGCTCAGTAGTCTCAGTACTGGAAAGATGTATACCGTATCTAAAGTGAAGTTGAGTGATGCTGGAACGTATGAATGTATTGCATGGAATAAACTTGGAAATGATTCATCTTCCGCTTATTTAACCGTTGAAGGTAAGATTAGATTTTTAGACACATTTTCTTTGTCCTGCATGCATTCTATCATCAGGCGACAACATACGTGTGAGGAACACGGAAAGCAAAAACTAGTAGAATATAGAATGTATAATTAATTTAAGCATGCATGCCCCCGAGTCCCGGTTAGGTCATCTGCAATAAACCTTCAACACTGTCAAATATTTTATAATTAATCCTAGTAAACATAAATGATTATTGCACTTGTAATTTAATAGTTAAATTGAGATCAATGAACAATGCATAATGTAAGACGGCAACTTCCGGACGACGGTAATAATATAGTTGATCGACAAATGTTTTGTAATTCGATTAGAAAGGATTGTTGTATTGAATGTGATATAATAAATACTATAAATGAAAGATACAGTCCCCAGATTGTGATTGTGATGAACCAGATAGGCCCAGATAGCGCGACTATTCCGTGTGTGAGTGCGCGGGGGAGAAAGTTGCGAAACGTGGTCCTTCGGAGCAGGATTTATTGTGATTGAGTAAACTAGATTGAATCGAAATTGCGCAAAATTACGGTCCGGTCAGAGACGTTCGGCTACATTGTTAGCTACGAATGTAAAGGAAAAATTATCCGATGAATCCTTAGAAGATTATGATTTCTTAAAGCAATGTAAACTGTCGCTGAACGAAAAAATTGAGTGTTTGCGAAAGCTAGACGAAAGTGTGGGCGAGCTGATAAGTACGAGTGATTCTGAAACCGCAGACGCAGAATTACAGAAGGAAATCGAAGAATCAGACGAGCGTAGAGCTGAGCTACAGAAAATAGTTTTTGATATTGACGATCGACTAAATTTAATGCTACAATCATCGCAAGCGGCTGCGTCTCAGACAAACACAATGTCTGGAAATAGTGAGCAGACCAAAGCAAAGCATGTCGTGGGTGCCAAATTGCCAAAGCTACAAGCCAAAACGTTTGACGGAAAAGTCCAAGAGTGGCAAGAGTTTTGGGAATCTTTCGAAAGCGCGATTCATCAGAACGAGTGTTTGTCAGAAGTGGACAAATTTACATATCTAAGAAGCCTTCTTCTTGGACCGGCGAAATCAAGTATTGCGGGGTTCGCACTTACTGCGACGAACTACAAGGAAGCACTCGAGTTGTTAAGAAACAGGTACGGGAAAAAGAACGTAATCCAGAGAGCTCTCATTCAGGAACAGTTAAAACTAAAACCCGTGTACAACAATAGAGATCTTGGTGGCCTTCGAAAGTTATATGACGCCTGTGAAACGAACTACCGTGTGCTAGAGGCGCAAGGAGTAAACGTCAGCACGTATTCGAACATTGTTGTGCCTACGATAATGGAGAGTTACCTGAAATGTTTTGTTTAACAATTACGAGGGAAAGGGAATTCTTAGAGTGGTCTATGAAAGAACTTTTGGAGGCGATGACGAAGGAAATTGAGCTGAGAGAAGCCCACCATGCTGTGATAACTACCTCAGAAGGCCAGGAACGGAAATCCGAGGGAGGAAAGCCGTATACGAAGAAAGGACCGTATGGTAATAGTTTCGCCGCTGCATTACTGGCTCGACGACACCAAGATTCTGCCAAGTTTGTATCAAGATGTGCCTACTGTTTACAAGAACATGATCCCAACAATTGCACTAAGGTCAAAGGTATTATAGAACGTAAAAAACTTATTCGTAAATATGGTAGATGTTTCATTTGTTTAAAAAAGGGACATATAAGTAAAAACTGTTTAAGTAAAAGTAATTGTAGTGCATGTGGTGAAAGACATCATAATTCTATCTGTGAAAGTAGTGTAAAGGACACTCATGCTAGTCCCAATCTCCATGTAGGTTCTGAAGGTAGTGTTCCTTTGCAGACAGCACAGGCAGAAGTCAAGGGTCCAGGTGGTGGTGTTAGAACTAGGGTACTATTTGACTCAGGTAGCCATAGATCATTTGTCACTGTCAAGGCAGCTCAGACAGCTAGGATTCCTGTCAAGAGAAGGGAGTGGTTAAAGATTTGTACGTTTGGGCAGGAGAAGGCATAAGGAAAATTACGCGATGTTTTTGAGTTAGAGGTGCATCCTGTCAATGGAGTGGAGAGTGTAAATATGGAAGCTTATGGAGTAGAGAATATATCCCAGGTACGGAATGAGCATATTGAGTCTAAGAAGCATGATTACGAACATTTGAAGGGGCTATGGTTTTCGGATGTTTGCAGAAATGAAGGTGTTTTGTTGATTGAAGTTTTGATTGGCTCAGATTATATTTGGAGCTTTCAGGAAGACAGAGTTATGAAAGGAGAACCTGGTGAACCTGTGGCAGCATACATCAAGCTAGGTTGGGTTTTGTCACGGCCCATGAAAGGGCAAAGAAAGGGTAGATGGGGAAGCAAATGTTAATTTTGTTGGTAGTCATCCTAATGAGTATACATAAGATAGGAATGTAGAGAGATTATGGGATCTTGAGACATTGGGTATTAGAGAGGATAATGATGTGCATGAGTCGTTGAAGGATGCAATTGAGTTTAATGGTGTTCGATATTCAGTGGGGTTGTCGTGGAAAAGGGCTCACAAACCTTTATTGCCAAGTAATTATATTATTAGCATGAAGAGGTTAAATGGTCAGTTGAGGAGGTTGCGGCAACAGCCTGAGATACTCAAGGAGTACGACAAAATAATTAATGAGCAGTTGCAGCAGGGAATAATAGAACCTTTTTTGTAGAATTAGAAAGGCCTGGTGAGCGTGTACATTATTTGCCACATCATGCTGTGGTAAGGAAGAATGCAAAAACAACCAAGGTTAGGGTTGTCTATGATGCATCTAGCAAGGAATCCAAAAGGCCTGTTTCATTAAATGATTGCCTTCATGTAGGTCCATCACTGACACCCCAACTGTTTCATGTTTTGTTAAGATTTAGGGAAAGGCGGGTGGCCCTTGTGGCAGACATTGAGAAGGCTTTCCTCAATGTAGAAGTTGATAAATGTGATCGGGATGTCCTAAGATTTCTTTGGGTAAGAGATGTATCTGATGAAGAAATTAATCCGGTGGTGTATAGATTTTGTACGGTGGTATTTGGGGTTAACAGTTCTCCATTTCTGTTAAATGCTACATTGCAGTATCATTTAGATAGATATATGAAGGTAGAGGAGGAATGTGTTAGGAAGATAAAGAATGATTTTTATGTAGATGACTTAGTGACAGGGGATCAGACAGAGGATAAGGCTTTGACATTGCATGAGAAGTCGAACAGAATTTTAAGTGAAGGAAGTTTCCAATTGAGAAAGTGGTTGAGCAATAGCAATAGCAAAAGGATGCAGGAGAGTTGAACCTAAGCATGCTGCATTGCATGATGACAGAAATTTAAATGATGATGAGTCCTTTGCAAAAGCATCTCTTGGGGTTAGAAATGATACTCAGTTAGAGAAGGTTTTAGGCATTGATTGGAATTGTGTTTCAGTTGAGTTTCTCATTCAGTTCACAACACTGACAGAGAAGGCCAAGAGTTTAATTCCTACTAAAAGGAATATTCTTAGCATATTGGCAGTATTGTATGATCCCTTAGGGTTTGTTAGTCGACTTGTTGTTACCATCAAGGTATTGCTTCAGGAGTTGTGGATTGAAGGTTTTGCTTGGGATGATGAACTGGACGAGAATAGGAAAAAAAGGTGGTTGGGTTGGATTGAAGAATTAGAAAGGATAGGTAACGTTGCTGTCCCTAGATGTTTTTATGGGCTATTCTTCGGTAATGTGAGATGTTCTTTGCATGGGTTTGCAGGTGCCAGTGTAAAGGCATACTGTGCTGTTGTACACTTTGTGACTGAATTGTGTGGAGCATACAATATTGAACTGTTGACATCTAAAACTAGGGTTGCCCCCAATAAGAATCACACGATACCTAGACTAGAACTCATATCTGGAAGAATATTAGCACAGTTGATGTCGGGTGTTAAACATGTCTTAGGAAGCGAAGTAGAAATTATAGAAACCTATTTCTGGTTAGATAGTAAAACAGCATTGTGCTGGATTTATAACAGGGGCGAGTGGAAACAATTTGTTGGACATAGAGTTAATGAAATCCTTAATTTGTCAGGAAAGGAATATTGGAATCATTGTCCAGGGGAGGATAGCCTGCATGGCAGGTGGTCTAAAATACCGCCTGCTGGGTTTGGCAGTGTAATTTGATAACCGTCCACTTTTTTGTACGGATCCAATTAGCCAATCAGCAAACACTAAATATATTAATAATCAAACTGTCAAACACTCAAACTATGTTATTGTTTGGTCGCAAAATTGCAAATATAAAATATGCCGAAAGAAACACCATTGAAAGTTTCAATCAGGAAAAGCAAGCGCGGAAAATGTAAATAACCACTGTCGTTTGTGTATTAAGTGTGCTTTGAAACCAAAACACGGGGCAATAGAGAAAATATCTTGTATATCGTCGGAGAATTTTATAT